CTTATGGATTTCCCATTTTTAAACTTGTTTGTCCTTTCTCTTGCAATGTTTGTTCTCTAAATTACGAACACTATTAAAGAGTTTGTTTTAAAGACAGTTGAGACTATATTAGCTCCTTCAAAAGCAACAAGATTCATAGAATAAACTGATACAAAATACAACTCAAATTTAACAATCCTAATACCAAATACTGGTAGCAGGTACCTATGAAACTAATCATGATACGCCCAAGCTACTACCAACATATATTCCTACAAAGTGATGAATGAGGAGGGTAGAGTGTAAACAGACCTTATCCCTACCTCAGACATAGACATGTAGTTTCCGATAGACCCTCGGCTCAAGGAAAAACAAATCCAAAGCAGTTCCAAACATACAAAAAGAAGTACTAGCATATTCATCTAAAAAGAGTCTTGGATAATCTCATTATCATCTAGTGATTCAAACAAAGCTAAGTGAACTTAAGAACACTCATTAGTCATTCAGATTTTAGTCACAATTGGAGAATCTTTGCCTCATTCCCTCATCTTTGCATCTCCTCTGATCTACAACCATAGACTCAAACACATCCAAAAGATGATCTAATCCTTCACAATCTTTTTCTCCAACAGCTTTCAAAGCATATACAATACTCTCAATGGTAGACAAATATCCAGCTCTAGGTTGACGCCTCACTTCGCTATACAAACTTAGCTTCTCTACATCCAACCTCAAATGTGGCAACATCTTCAACCAAGGATTCTCATTATACATTCTTTTTGCTTTTGCCCATGTCCCATCAAGTACAATCAGATTTTTCACTTCAAAATCTATCTCCTCAGTGCCTATTGAATTTCCACTTGGAAATAACAGCACTGATCCTGAAGGAACTGAAACTTCGAACTCCTTCAATTCTTGAAATTCACTGCTCCCATCCAATAACTTTCTCTGCAACTTTTTTACAATGAACCCTTTTCGTATATCATCAATAGCTTCTCTAAAGCTCCCGCTATGCTTAGTCTTACCCTGCATTTCTGCAAGAGACTGTTCCCACGGCTTATTCAAATGTTGATTCTGAGAGGGACTAATTGCACCATACTTCTCTATAGTAAAAGAAACAGCAGCATTACTATCAAAGTTTGAGTCTTTATTGTTTCTGCTACAATTTTCATCCAAATTTCGAGAACCCATTTCAAGATTTGAGTTGAGCAAGCGAATGACAAATTCAGCTTCATAATTAACATCAGAGACTGAAATTACACTCAGATTTTGCAGGCCAATAGAGGCAATTCTTGTGGAATTTAGAGGGTGATTTTTCTCTAGACTGTGTTGAAGGATTGTGACAGCCACAGAGTTTTCAAGACATGGGGTCTTCAATCGTGTGCAGAGACACAAACGGGTGGGTTTAGAGCATGATGGGCACATGGGTCTCTTTGAATGACCCGATTCATTCACCATTTCTAGGGTTTGAGGCAAGTTTTGAACTTGAACAGGTAGAGGGTGAGGGTTCTGTCTGGCTAAAAAATGGTTACCTCCAGAGAATGAAACGACCCGATTCTTGAAATACATTAGCATGGAGGAAAAATCCGGGTCTGAGCGAAAAGGAAATGGAGCAGGAGTGACCCGACCCGGGAAGTTGCAGAAGAAAAAGAAGACGATGAAAGAAAAAGCAGGAGTGTGGTGCACAGAAGCACCCTGGGTGGTCATAGTGGTGCATTGACTATATTACCCTCGCCTACTTCATCTTCTCAGTACATTCAAGAACAAATCTTGAGGTCATTTTAGACCAAATGGAACCAATTTTATATATGCCATTGAACCCACGAGTCACGACCAATTCCAAAGCTTGAAGCTTTTTGATCTCTGAAATCTTGACTAAGAATTTGCAAAAAAAATCAAATCTTGGTAAAAGATGCATGATTTCTGCTTTACGATCCCTTATGGGTTAATTCTGGTGTGTGGTGGTGCCATGGGATATGCCAGTAAAGGAAGCATAGCTTCACTTGCTGGAGGTGTTGGTACTGGATTTACTTTGATCTTAGCTGGTTACTTGAGTCTGCAAGCATTTCACAAACGCAAAAATTCATACTTTGCCTTAATTCTTGAAACTGGTATTACCCTTTTCATTTCCTTAGAAAAAACTGCATTTCATATTGGCCAAGCTTGGGTCTTTTCTGTTATATTGTGCTGATATAGTATTGAATCACAGTTCTTGATTGTGTATAGCCTCTCATTTATGCTTGTTGTTCTTGAAACAAGGTAGGAATAAAGTGTGTGTACACTCTAGACTCCCCAGACCTCACTTGTGTGATTACACTAGCTCTGTTGTTGTTGTTGTTGTTGTTGTTATTGTTTATCAGATCTGAAGAGTAGTTCTAATTTAGTATTACTCCTCTTAAAGAATAAAATCTTCTTGGATTTTTGTCCTTCTAAGAAATCGACTGCCTCTCCTGAGCATAAATGAGATGCAACCCTGGTGTCTTTGTTCTTGTGTGTTTGTCTCTTGTTTGGACCTAAAACTTAATGTGAACTGTTTGTTCTTATGTGGATACTATCATTGGAAGGTACAATACTTTAGCATCTAATGGCTATTAGGTTTCCTTAAGGTTCATTGACCTTCCAAGAATCTGCTTGTGTGTTTCACAGATGTTAAGTTGGAGGTTGGTGCAGATAATTTATATTGGTTGAAATTTAGAGGAGTAACTATTAACAAAAGAAAACTTCAAAATTATCATGTTATATGATGAACTAAACAAGATAAAAAAGAAAGATATATGATTATGCACGTTTCCTCTCAGCATCTCCTTTAACAATGATCGGAAGTATTGTGCAAAGCACCATCCTTTGAATGAATTCTCTGATAATCTTGGACTCTACCAGTTGGTTGTGTCAACTGCAATCTTAATGTTCAGAAATACAACTTCCTAAGTGAACATTAACTCACAGATAACAGTCAATTCATCAAGTTTGAAACTTTTCAGGGAGTACATTTAAGACTATAATAAGCTATTTTGACCTTGAATCTAGCTTTTTCCTTATGATCAGAACTCTGTAGTTTTCCTACTTGGTGTGGTGCTTATCTGCTTCTTCTTCTTCAAAGTTTGATGAAGTAGAAATGCAGACGCGGAGAGAATATGTTAACTTTTGTTATGTCTGATGACACCATGATTTCCTTCTGATTCAGAAAGAAAAATCAAAATTTCATCTTTTTTGCTTCTGTCAATGAATTTGCTTTGTTTGTTATAAACGCGTGGGCATCTCCACTCACTTTATTCGATTCCAAACAGCTTGTGCAGCTACGCTAACATGGGTTATGGGGAAGCGGTACATGCAAACTTCAAAAATAATGCCGGCTGGTGTTGTTGCTGGTATCAGGTAACTGCAAATGAAAAGCATGCCATACTGGTTTTATAGTCAACTTGCTTCTTGGTTGCTGTATTTTGTCTGATCTTTTTAAGTACACTAAGTTTGTGAGGTATGGCAAATTTTATCATGGCATATCACAACCACATACACAGTGTGATCCCACAAGTGAGGTCCGAGAGGTTAGAGTATACGCAGATCTTACCACTACCTTGTGAGGAATTGAGGCATATCACATATATAGGATAAAGCGGATAGTAGTGAGAAACTTTTTCAAAAGTTCATCCCATGCAATATGGGAGAAGATGATTTTGTTGAAAGGAGGAAGATTTTGCTCATCTTAACTACTGTTTTCGAACTCTTGCTATAATATAAGAACAGAATTGCCCTCAGTCTTGTTGTTTGCTTCATGTATTAATGGAGAATACATGCTCCTATGCTAGTTATCTTATACCTCTATAGCTGTGTCAACATATCTTGCTGTTACTATGGCTTTAAGCTATGTTGCTTGGACTCTCCAAAATGCTGCCGGACCTGTGTCAGATCCTCAAAAAATGCACTACTTTCCGAGGATCCAAAACATGCCTACCAACATTTTTTAAAAGTCCAAGCAACATAGGCTTTAAGGTAACATGCACAAGACAATGTGTCCCTTTTTATTCTTTTGGTGAATAATGCAGACTGAAAGTTATAACCGTAGTACTCGAGTCAGCTTGCACACCTTGACTATCGAGAAGTCTTTGTATCTTTTTATTTTTTATTTTTTTTTATATTCATAATATCAGGGCTAGCTTGCGGGCATCTCGACTATCAAATAGTCTTTGTATATGTTTTTCTTATAACTGTGGTGTCTGGACCAGTTTGCGCTGCTCGACTATCAAAGTGTTTTTGTATCTTTTATATGAGGTTGATGTTATATTTATTTTGTTTTCTCTTTTCTGCAGTGCACTCATGACTGGGTTTTACCTGTACAAAATTGCCACAAGAGGAAACCATTTTCCACCTAAGACTGAATAGTACCATATGATTATTTATTTTTGGGTTCCAATTTCATACTGCATGTATCAAGCTGAAAATGTACTCTTTTTTATACTAAATTTTATAGAATTTAATGAATCAACTCTTAGTTTGATGTTTGTTTATCTCTAGTAACCATTTACAACTTTTCATCAAGCATTTGTTTTTTTTTTTTTTTTTTTGGTTTTCCACAAACTCAATGTTCGATATCTGCATTGGAATGCAACTAATATAGGTTTGCCTTGCAAAAAGAAAAATAACATACCAGTGTAATTCCTATACACAGCCTTACTCTTCAAAGGTAGAAAGACTATTTCTGACGGGCAAATCAATTAATCATCATTCGGTAACTTTGCTCAAGTAAACTTTATTACTGATTTTTGCCAAATTCATAACTCTCGATATTGATTACCATATTCAAAACTCGAACCCAATATGTCTCGAATTTTGGAACTGTACATGGATTTCAAGCAGTATTATCTAAAAAGTGTTGGCAGTTTTTGGATTTTCTACGTGTCATTTGGATTTATATTTGACAGTGTCACTGTTATCCACGTGTCTTGTGGCACTTCAAACTTTATTATAGGAAAAAAAATAAGCAGGACTCCATTTTCTTTGTCATTTCTTTCGATGTTTCTCAGTATGTTTAACTGTAAATTAAGTTTTGGTGAACATTTGATTTTTGCCCAGAAAGTACTAGATAACTCTCAGGATATCTGCAACCTCCCAACAACAACAGATATCAAGTAATTTTATTTATTAAGAGTAGCAATAACAATAACAATAGATATCAGGTAACTTGGTCTACGAATAAATGAAAAAAAAAATCACCTAATATTTTGTTTCTGCTGGAATTTGAATCTGAAACCTATGAGCTCTATTTATTGTTCCCATATGTTGTGGTTGTTCCCCTTCTTTGTTTTTTCACTTCACTTATTATTGTCAGCTGGAGATTGAGTTTGATTCATGTTTACTCTGTTTGGTTTGAAAAAATGTGAAGAACTAGGAAATTCCATAGGGTTCAGGTTGAGGTGGGACAAAGAACTCGTACAATCATATAGGAAAGTATGTTCTGGTATGTCAAGATGGAGCTTGTTCTTGTTTCAGGATACCATAACGGAGCTAAGACACTTTCCAGTTTGTACCTCAGTACGTCAATCATGAACACTATCGTAGCTATTACCCTATTTCTGCTCCCGGTATTCTTCCTTCTTGCTTGGAGGATAAGATCGTCGAAGAGGGTTCCACCAGGATCCCTTGGATTTCCAGTCATCGGTCAAAGTCTTGGGTTGCTAAGGGCAATGAAAGCCAACACAGCAGAGAAGTGGCTTGATGAAAGAGTACAAAAATATGGTCCTATATCAAAGCTAAGCCTTTTTGGCAAACCAACTGTGTTTATTTATGGGCAGGCTGCTAACAAGTTTTTATTTACCAGTGATGGCTCTGTCCTCACTAGTAAGCAGCCACAATCACTCAAGATGATTCTGGGTGATCGTTGCCTTTTGGAAATGAATGATGAAGATCATAAACGGGTTAGAGATGCCCTGGTATCGTTCTTGAAGCCAGATAGTCTGAAGCGTTATGTTGGAAAGATGGAAGAAGAAGTCAGAATCCACCTTGAGACTTACTGGAAAGACGAGCAAATAATGAAGGTATGTCAAGGACCCCCCCAAAAGTAATCTTGCATACAATTTAGAAATTTACAACTAACCTCTGCATAATGTTGATGATAATACGTATTACCTTTGATGAAGACACTCACCTTTGACATTATTTGTTCTCTCCTTTTTGGGCTTGAACGTGGAGCTCGAAGAGACCAAATGGTTCGTTATTTCCAGCAGATGATAGAAGGAATGTGGTCAATCCCTATAAACTTGCCTTTTACGCGCTTCAATCGCAGCCTCAAGGCAAGCAAAGATGTCCAGAAAATGTTGAAACAACTTATTTCAGAGAAACGACATGAGTTTGACAACAACTTAGCTTCATCCCACCAGGACCTCATCACCTGCTTGCTCAGCATCCGTGGAGAGAACAAACAAGAACTCATGTCTGAAAATGAAATCATTCACAATGTCATGCTCATCATGGTTGCTGGATATGCCACTTCATCCGTCTTGATAACTTTCATGGTTAGACTTTTAGCAAAGAATCCAAATATTCATGCAGCTGTCCTTAAAGGTAAGAACCCCTCTGAATTTCATTCAGACTCGAGTTACTCTATCTTTCGGGTTTCTTCTGAATAAATTGTGGGAATGCAGAACAGGAAGAGATTGCACAGAGCAAGTCACCAGGACAGTCGCTAACTTGGGAAGACCTTGGCAATATGAAATACACCTGGAGAGTGGCCATGGAGACAATGAGAATGTTCCCTCCCATTTTCGGAGGCTTCAGGCAGACTGTAAAAGACATTGAGTATGGAGGCTACCTCATTCCAAAAGGATGGCAAGTAAGATAAAAATTCCCATCTTTGATTTTTCCAGTCTTCAACCTGTTAATTTTGGTAGTACTCCGGCTTTTTTGATTGGCGTAATTCAAATTTAACCACTGCTTAATGGCTGCACATAGATATTCTTGGTAACGGCTAAAACACACATGGATAGCAGCATTTTCCAAGAACCAGAGAAATTTGATCCATCACGCTTTGAGAACACAGCATCTTTGCCTCCTTACAACTTTGTTCCATTTGGAGGGGGAGCCCGTATATGTCCTGGATACGAGTTTGCAAAGATTGAAACTTTGGTCACAATCCATTACCTTGTAACATATTTCACATGGAAGCTATGCTGTACAGACGATTTCTTCAGCAGGGACCCAACACCAGTACCAACTCAAGGGCTTCCCATTCAAATAATTCCCAGGAAACCTCTCTAGTTCAACAAATTCAATCCTACATTCTTCTCCAAGAGGCAGCAGACTTTGTAAACCTTAAGGCTCCTAAGGGAATATTATGCAAGAATGAAGAAGTCAAGCTTGGCTAAGTCGTAAGTGGGGCTTGTGTGGTTGCACCTAGACGTTAAAGTATTTGGAGTAATAGTAAGTTGAAGGGTATTATATCACTCAACTTTATGTTTTTTTGTCTTTCAATTATCAAAAAGTCTTTGTATTTGTTTGTCTTTTTTTAATAACCGTGGCATTTAAGTCAGCTTGCACACATCAACTAATGAAAAGTCTTTGTATCTGTTTGTTTTTTTATAATCGTAATATCACAGCCAACTTGTGGACATCTCGACTATCAAAGTCTTTGTATCTGTTTGTCTTTTTATAACCATGATATTCCAGTCAGCTTGTGCACCTCGACCAAATAAAGTCTTTGTATCTGTTATGTATATTTATTCTCTCTCTTTTCTGAAGTGCATTCAAGACTGGATAACCTATACAAAATTGCTGCAGCCACCTAAGACTGAGTCGTACCAATTGATTGTTTATTTGGGATTCAAATTCCATACTGTATGTATCAAGTAGATGTGAATTCTTATGAATTGTTGTATACAGCCGGCTGAAAATGTACTTGTTTATTAATTTTATTGAATACAATGGGATTGCTTTCATGAGTTTGAATTTTAGTTTTGTGATTTACTTGACTTTGCTTTCATGGTGTATCAATCAAACAAAACAACTATTGGATTATCATTTTTTTCCAAAAATAAAAAAGATAGTCTGAATATCTACTACCTTCCACCAGCATAAGTGCCGGACCAAGTACCTTATGCTGTATCAATCTGTCAAATAAATTATCAGATGTAAAGATCATCACATGATTGATTTGGACTCTGCAGTCTGCACTACTTGTTTTTAAGAAAAAACAAAGCACAAGAGTCCTGTTAACCAACACTGTTCTTTTTGGACATGCTGATAGAGTTAAATACCACAATCACTGGAAAGTATAGTTTTGTATATCTAGATGTGGCATATACCACAATTACTGGAAAGAATAGTTTGGCATATCTAGATATGGCATATACCACAATTACTGGAAAGTATAGTTTGGTATATCTAGATGTGGCATATTTTTGTTACAGGATACCATAATGGAACTGAGATGCTTTTCCAGAAACAAACAAAGTTAACAGCACAAGAAGATTATATAAATTACTTCTACTTCCTAAGCTTACTACCTTTGTACCTTCAATCATGAACATTATAGTAACTATTTTCCTATTTCTACTCCCGGTATTCCTCCTCCTTGTTCGGAGGAGGAGATCATTGAAGAGGGTTCCACCAGGATCCCTTGGAATTCCAATCATCGGCCAAAGTCTTGGGATGCTAAGGGCAATGAAAGCCAACACGGCAGAGAAATGGCTTGAAGAAAGAGTACAAAGATATGGTCCTATCTCAAAGCTAAGCCTCTTTGGCAAGCCCACAGTATTCATTTATGGACAGGCTGCTAACAAGTTTGTATTTACCAGTGATTGCTCTGTTCTCACTAATCAGCAGCCACAATCAGTCAAGATGATTCTGGGCGATCGTTGCCTTTTGGAACTCAATGGTGAAGATCATAAACGGGTTAGAGATGCCCTGGTATCATTCTTGAAGCCAGATTGTCTTAAGCGTTATGTTGGAAAGATGGAAGAAGAAGTCAGAATCCACCTCGAGACTTGCTGGAAAGACAAGCAAATAATTAAGGTATGTCATCCCCCCTACTATTCTTGCATGTAACCTAAGACATTTACAGCTAACTTTTGTGTTAATGATAGGTATTACCTTTGATGAAGACACTCACCTTCAACATTATTTGCTCTCTCCTTTTCGGGCTTGAGCGTGGATCACAAAGAGACCAAATGGTTCATTATTTCGAGCAGATGATAGAAGGGGTGTGGTCAATCCCTATAAACTTGCCTTTTATGCGTTTCAATCGAAGCCTCAAGGCAAGCAAAGATGTCCAGAAAATGCTGAAACAACTTATTTTGGAGAAACGCCATGAGTTTGACAACAACTTAGCTTCATCCCACCAGGATCTCATCACCTGTTTGCTCAGCATCCGTGGAGAGAACAACCAAGAACTCATATCTGAAACTGAGATCATTCACAATGTCATGCTCATAATGGTTGCTGGATATGACACTTCATCCATCTTGATAACTTTCATCGTAAGACTTTTAGCAAAGAATCCAAACATCTATGCAGCTGTCCTTAAAGGTAAGAACTCTTCTGAATTTCATTCAAACTCCAGTCACACTATCTTTTGGGTTTCTTCTAAATAAGCTTGTGGGAATGCAGAACAAGAAGAGATAGCACAGATCAAGTCACCTGGAGAGTCCCTAACTTGGGAAGACCTTGTCAAGATGAAATACACCTGGAGAGTGGCAATGGAAACAATGAGAATGTTCCCACCCGTTTTCGGAAACTTCAGGCAGACTGTAAAAGACATTGAGTACGGTGGCTACCTCATTCCGAAAGGATGGCAAGTAAGATCAAAATCCCCATCTTTGATCTTCCATTCTTCAATCTGTTAATTCGGCAGTACTCAGTATATTTCTTATTGGCATAACCCAAATTTAATCACTGCTTAATGGCTGCACGTAGATATTCTGGGTAATGGCTAAAACACACATGGATAGCAGCATTTTCCAAGAACCAGAGAAATTTGATCCAGCACGTTTTGAGAACTCAGCATCTTTGCCTCCTTACAACTTTGTTCCATTCGGAGGGGGAGCCCGTATATGTCCTGGATACGAGTTTGCGAAGATTGAAACCTTGGTCACAATCCATTACCTAGTAACACATTTCACATGGAAGCTATGCTGTACAGATGATTTCTTCAGCAGGGACCCAATGCCGGTACCAACTCAAGGACTTCCCATCCAAATAGTTCCCACGAAACCTCTATGATTCAATAAATTCAATCATACAATCATACATGCTTATTCAACAGGAAGCGAGTTTTGTAAACCTCAAGACTCCATATTATGATATATTGCTGTTAAAAGGACACTAAAACTAGACTGGATTTGGCATCAAATTTGCGATCTCCCAAGGGGAATACTCCCTATATTATGCTGTATTCATGTCAAAAGATGTACACTTTAAGGCCTCACAATCCAGCCACAATTATTGAAACTTTATATTTGAAAGTTAAAGGGCTAAAAATTAGATATGAGAAATTGGAATTTCAACATGCATAAGCACAATTCTTCTTTTCTCTAGATTTAGCTATTGCAGCTCAAAGTTATACAACTTTTTTTTTTTTTTTTGATGAAGCTTAAAGTTATACAACTTTTCTTTTCTGAAACTTGACGGCTAAAAGTTGGATGTAAAGGATGAAATTTTCCAACAACATACCCAGTGTAATCCCACAAGTGGGATCCGGGGAGGGTAGAGTGTATGCAAATCTTAATTTTACCTCGTAGAGATAGAGAGGCTATTTCCAGTTGACCCTCGGCTTAAATAAAGCATTTCCAAGCCGTTTGTAAAATGGAATTCAGAAATAAGAGTAGGAAAGATGAAATTTTCTAACATATACCCAGTGTAATCTGATAAGTGGGGTATGAGGAGGGTAGTGTAGATAGAGAGACTATTTATAGTAGACCCCAACTTAAAATAAAGCATCTCCAAGCAGTTTGAAAAATGGAATACAGAAGCGAGAGCAAGAAAGATGAAACTTTTCATGGACATATTTTAGCACTTGTTAGTCCTTTCATGCTATGTAATTGATTCTTGGGTAATTTATCAAAATTTTGAGGTTGGCATTGAAACAACTTTATTGAGTGTAGATCTCTGAAGTTTCTAAGGCATAAAAAATAAATAACATCCACTTAGACTACCAACTCATTTCCATATATACAAGTTCTTTTGGATTCATTTATCCAAAGCTCGTTAAGTATAAATCTAAATTAAAATGTGGAACTTGTCAGGCTAGGATTCTATCCTGTGCAACATTGATCAGGATGAATAGTAATACCAAACTTTGTACAAACTCTTAGATAAGAGCAATATATATGAATATGGTCATCAGCAACCTTGTGCATTCTAGGAAATTGTACTACAAGTACACAACCTGAGGACTGATGAGTGAAAAACTATATGCTTCTAAACCTCTGAGATTACGAGGATGATGGGAAAACCATTGTCAACAACTTTGTGGTCTGTAATATTTCGGAGGCATAGATGGGCATCTTTCATTCATATGGGGGTACAGATCCATACTATTGTATCCAGGTAGTTCCATCCGGTACTTTCCTCGAATTTGACAGAAAGGAAGCTTCACATTATCATCTGCATTGCACCACTTCGGCAACCGGCTTGAATTGTTCTCGAAAAACTTGAGAGAGTAAGCATCTTTAATCTGCACTCCCAGCAATAAATACATTACTTTTCGAACTCTAGAAGTTGAATCCAACATGAAACTTCCCATGTGCTTTTCAATTAGATGAACCATCAGACCTCAGGGTCCAACAGCAAACAAGTAATGCAAGAATTGTAATTTTCTTTTTTCCGAATGATAAAAAAATGATGCAATAGTTTCACAAACATGAGCAATATTAAGATAGAGGACTGGATAACTTTCCAAGAATTGAAATACTTCTGGTTTGAAATTTGGTTCCTAACTTCCACATTTTTTGGCACTAAGATACTGAAAGGTATGCAAGAGTACAGTAAAAAAATTCCTATTTTAGGGAAGTGGACAATGGACACAATGTTTAAACTTTAACAACCCAAACAATACGTAGACCAGTTTATTTGGAACTTAACAGAATTGTAGCAAGGATGACGAAAACATGTACTCCATCCATCCCAATTTACGTGATGTAGTTTGAATGGATAAGACTTTGCAATGTACTAAAATACCCCTAAAATAAATGAATTTTTAAATAGACGAATACACTTTTGTAGACATTTTTCCAAATAAGTGGGACCCAACATGAGTAAAATAGTGTCATTAAACATTTGCCAAATAAGGAAATATGTCATTCCTTTTGGGATTGACTAAATAGGAAAGTGCACATAAACTGGGACATAGGGAGTATTTAGTAGGGATGCGAAGAATAATAGGAAGAACGAGTGCAAGATACCTCACTACACATACAGACATGTGAAACTCCCCGCCCCCAACAAAAAGAAAACCCGCCATCCACAAAAAGGCAACCAAGAGAAAAGGAAAAGCAGTTTTAGATTCATCTAAGTACATATCATGCAAATGCACTGGAAACCAACTCACCGTGAATTCTGTAACCTGAATTGAGCTTGCAAGTTCACCAAATAGTCCTGCTTCCTTATACATCTCAAGAATAAAAGCAACA